ATTTTTTGCAATACAACACTTCCCAATTCTTGCATTCAAATACTTCCAGTTGGAATCATTTTGGATTAATTTGAATTTAGCCTAATAATAAAATTCCTTTAAACATAAATGTACGACATTTACATTTATCTGGTGTAGTGTTCAAAGATAAAAAAAATTCAAAAACCTGTTCGAAAACGGAAACCTGCCAAAGAGGAAAAAGTAATTCGGTATTGTGCGATTCCAGTTTATACAGGTTACACTGTATACATTTTATCATGTCCAGGCTTATTAAATAATTGGCATTAATAAAGAAATATAATTAAAGTAAACAAGTTGTCAGCTGATTTAATTATTTAATCATCTTATCTATATCTTACATAATATACTATAATATATATATTAATATAAGTAATAATAGTATTGAATATATAATTTATTATGTAAAAAATTCTGTTTAATATTTAAATTAGTAATTTCTTTAAATTATTATATAAATCGGCTGAATAGCTGCATATATTGGATACAAGATCTTATTAAAAATGTATAGACTTTCACGAAATTAACATTTAACTTTTCAAGAAAATAAACGAAAAAATTCTGCATTTATAACCTGATAAATATACAATTTCTTTATTCTCTTAAAAATTTTAACTTAATATAATCATGTAGCTAATCCTGAAAGAGATGAGGTATGATCAACACCAGGGCCCCATTCTTCTTTGGAAGCCATAAAAATAACCTGTGTAAATAAAATCAATCAAATAAATAAAAATAGGCTTTTCAGACTGATAAAATCAACTAATTTATATCACTTTTATCACATAAAAGGTTAGATTTTACAACCACTTTGTGATCATAGTCCGAGCCAAATCGCTCTTCCGACTACCCTCCATTTGGACTGCAAATAATCATAAAGAAATTTATTATATTTCTGATTCTAATTATATATTTTAAATAATATTGTGAAAAATCATTTATTTTCTTTTGTTTTTACAATAAAAAAAGTTTATCTAAATTTTCCGGATAAAGAATGGATTTGACAAGAATCATTGATTTTATATAGGCCTATAGGCTACATATATACACGGCCGTCGACAGGGAAACTGGGAATTTTCCCCAGGCTAGGAGTGAACTTTGAGACCTAGAGTGGTTCCTATCCCTATAAATTAATGTTATTTTTGCTAACAAAAAGTAAAGTAATTAAAACTGCTTTTTATTAATAAATAAATATTCTACACATTTCATTTGTTCAAAAAACAGAAGGCAAAAACGGCCCTCTCTATTCCCTGGCTATACCAAGTTTTCGATTGTCTTGTACTGTAGAGTAGTGTTTCTCAACTTTTTCCACCTTTGACCTCTTTTGAGCTTAATATTATTCTGCGACCCTCCATAATAGTGCGACCACTGTTCCCCCCAATTCTGCAACCACTTTAATAAATTTTGCATTTCGGACAATCTTGTTAATGTTAAGTCGTGTAACTTTCAACCTTCAAATTCAAAACGCTTCCTTGAAAAGTTCTGCGATTTTCAAGGGGACCATATGGTTCCCGATTGAGAAACACTACTGTACAGTAAATACAGTTACGAGTTAATTCCAACTTAGGAAAAGGAAATGTTTTCGAATAAAGTACCGTAGCATCGTTAATTATTTTAGGTCATAACGGTTAACAAATGGCATGAAAGAAAAGCAGTTCTTCGAAAACAAATTCCTTCGAAGAACTTTTATATATTATATTGTATTTAATGTATAATGTAATGTATTTTTATTTTTATGTAATTGCTCTTCGAGACTTTTCTATTTACAGTACTTGTAAAAATAAATAAATAAATACGGCATGAAATCTGTATAAATATGTTTGTTAAGTTAATTAGGCCTACAAAATCATTCTTTTAACTCGTAAATTTAAATAATACTTTTTAAAAAGCAAGTTAATCGTTTCTTAAAAATTATTATTTAAATTTACCGGGTAGGATCAATAGAAAAGAATGGCGATTTTTATTAAAAAAACAATCAAATTTGTATTTTGTCTGTTGTTCATCTCTTATTTTGTCGCCCAGATGTCCAACGCCCAGTTAGCAGTAGCCCAGTTGACGGTGTCCCTCACCAATGAACTGGCCACGAGGAGTCTTTCCATAACTTCATGGTAATCAGGCAAATTTTAATTAGAGTCCCCATGTACCTGTACAGTATATTATTGACTTCACAAACATTCTTCTGCGGGGAAAGTTTTTTGGGAAATATTTTCTTATAAAAGATTGGCATTGCCCAATTTCCCCATAGGATAATGCGACAGTGAGTCTTTCGGGTTTTCTTCACGTTTGTAACACCTATATAGGAACCAGTTTTCCATAGAAAGTCTTTCAGGGAGGCATCCTCCTTGACAGATCGCCTGTGTGTTGCGTTGCCTTACCGTATCAATCCCAATCCTTATTTCATAGTTCACTAAAATCTAAACATATATCAATTGTTATTATATTTTTATATGTAATAAATTTATCTTACAACTCCCAAACGATCCTAGTAATTTAGCGAATCCTCCTAATAAATCAGCTGACTTCTCGTGGATTTCTAGTGACCAAGTTGGGAAACCCTGATATAGAGACAGACCCCGTTTATAACANAAAAATAATCATCAGTCAATAATTTTTCATTTATAACAGGGCTGTGGAGTCGTGGAGTTTTGGTGTTTTAATCGGAGTCGGAGTCGTCAAAAATCCCCTGATTCCGACTTCTTTTTACTTTCCCAATTTGTTGTGTGTATATTACTTTTACGGCTGTTATGCGATATAGACCTACAACAAAGGAAAAGAATGATGATCAGTCAAAAAATGACTTTCCCAGATTTTTACTCTTTTGGACTCGGGACGCATTGAAATGTCGAGAAGAGCAAAAATATTCGGTGTTTTTTCTGGGAGCACGATTTAGTTCAACTACTTTGAAGCTTGATAACTCCTGTGTTAAACCATCGGACTCCTATTCAAAAACTACAGAAATTAACCTTACCAGTCTCGGGTGCATCAGAATATTATTAAAACTTCGAGCGCCATCCTATATCCTATACTGATTATCTTACTAAAATTTAAACATATATCAATTGTTATTATATATTTAAATACAATAATTTTAAATTTGTCTACCAACTCCCGAATAATTCCTAGTAATTTATCGCTTCCACAGAGGAAAAACTTTAGCTTCATACATATTTTTATATGTAATAAATTTATCTTACAACTCCCAAACGATCCTAGTAATTTAGCGAATCCTCCTAATAAATCAGCTGACTTCTCGTGGATTTCTAGTGACCAAGTTGGGAAACCCTGATATAGAGACAGACCCCGTTTATAACACCTAATTAGTTGCTGGACAGTAACCGTAAATCAAACTTTAGTTTTTCGCAGGCTTAAAATTTAGATTCTATTTCTAGAAATAAATCTTAAACTGTATAACACCAGCACAGGTTCGAAATCGAAATGACTAATAAAAGATACGGTATTTATCCCCTTAGCTGCGTTATCTGTTGAAAAGTTTACCCCATACAAGCGCTCGATGGCCTTGTATATACAGAGCGCTTGTATGGGGTCCGAAGAAAGAGCGGGTCGCTTTTGCTTCTTAGCAGGCTCGTTTTGCTGCTTTTTCTTTGAATAAATGAATTACGTTATATGTTTCTTTGTTAATAAAAAGTAAAGATTGTATTTTTTTTGTTTATAAAACCATTAAATTTATAAGGGCATGAACCACTATGGGTCCGAGAAAAAATTCCGAGATCTCCCTCTGACGCGCTCCGTATATAGTCTATACACAAAATAAAAAATATATATATGAAAAATACTTTATTATTTCCCAAAGAGCAATGGTAAAGCCTTTTCCATGGCTATCGTGAGGCCAAGTTCACAATAGAGACACAAGGACCTAACATAACTTACCAGTGAAAATTTCTGTACTTCTACACTGGGGTTTCCGGAATGGCAAGCTGGATGCCTTTATCGCCTCGCGTGCCCGACAAAAATTTTGGGGATCTTCAGATTTTCAAAAATCGTGTGTGGGGAAAATGAACGTCAATTATTAACAAATTTATAATATTCATACTTTTGAATTCAACATTTAAAAAAGTTTAATATGGAGACTGTTCAAAGGCGAACGTGTTTCTCTATTTTTAAATCCGCCCATAAAAATTTGAAGATAAGGGAAGTTGTTACGTTAGGCGTTAAAGATTTCGCATCGACACGAAGACCCAAATTTAATTTTGTGATGAGTTAGTTCTTTCGTAATCAGTCGTTCGTTTGTTTTGTTTTCTGCTGAACAGCTAATTCTAACCCCCTTTGTACTTTTTTTGGCTCCATTTTCTTTTTGGTTTCAGATTAAGAATTTGGCCCTTTTGTCTTTTCTCAGGCTATTTAATACCGATAAAGGGTGTTAGCCTACAGTTCTGAAAGTCCGGGATCGATCCGGAAACCCCAGGAAGTGTTTATGGAATTCCACGGTCGGTCTGTCTCGGATATGGTGTCTTACAATGCCTATTATGTAGCTGCATTAGTCAGTATACCATAAATAAAAATCCGGATTCGAGACCGGTTCGGCTCAGGAATTTTTATGAGTGAGACAATTCGGATATATCCTTATTATCCGACCGTCCCAATTGTGGGCCGAATCTATTTTGGGTATGGAAAGCGGTCTGCCCGTACCCGCAGAATAGAAAGAAAAAAAAAGTCCGAATAAAAATGGAATAATGAAAACAGAAAGCATTTTAAAAGCCTTTCCGATAAATTATTATTAATCAATGAGATATTTTAATTCTTGAAAATTTTTATTTATTAAAAATATAAAACTAGACATCAAAATATAAACCAATATTTGCTTAACAGCACTCGTACATAAATTTAATAATTTATAAATTTTTACAAATTTACAACTTTATAAAATTCTATTTAAACATTTTTTATTGATATTAACGAAAAATATAACATATAAAGTAATAATATTTATAAACTTGACGTCGATTTTATATCATTGGGCAGACGAATGTTTAAATTCAAATTTCTCACACGACAATTTTGCCATCTGGCGATAAAAATCAGAACTTTACATAGAAACACGTGAGAAGTAGAAGCGTGTTGTTTTGGTAATTTATATGATTTTAAATGTAAACAAATAATGACATGGGACGTAAAAAATCGAATACAAACCAAAAAAGAGAATGGAAAAAGGTACTTTACGAGAAACAAGGAGTTGCTGATCATTATGTAGATGATTCATTTCTTTCTGAATTGAAGAAGAATGGTAATTCATTTTCATAGAAATTATCAATATATATTTGTATTACAAATTGATAAATATTGATACTTTATATAAAATAACATTCCAATTTTTATTTAAAGTGAATCTCAGGTGTTATACATTGACTGAAGCACTTGTAGCCATGACAATAGTAACACAAGAAATAAGTTGGTAAGAACTTGCATTCTGGAAATTTATTCATGTGAATTACAGTTTAAAATAATATTTCATCTATTTAGCACTTTTATTTTCGTAATGATCTTTGTTTATTTGGACTATGGGATAATTACTCCTATAACAACTCTCTTTGGAGTTGGCATCACCACATTCTTGTCATACATCTTGTATATCATTATTGAATGGAAAATAAGTTTTAAATTCAAGACTATTAGTAGTATGAAAATGTTTTGATCTTTTTAATTAAGAAATAAATATCTATCTTTACTAATGCTATATTATGTTTTTTAGAGATTTTCTCTGAATGTAAAAGCTTTATGATTTTTCTCATTTTTGGCTATGGTTTATCACCAATTTTAAAAACACTCACAGAAACAATAAGCACTGATACCATTTATGCTATGGTTACGTGCACGATGATTACCCATATCGTCTTCCAAGATTATGGAGCAGATGCAGCAATGTAAGTTTTATTACTTATTATATTATTCTAATTACATGAAAAATTAATTTTTTATTTAATAGTGTTTCTAGTACTCTATCCCTAAATGCAGCAATATTTGGGGCTGTCTGTTTAGCGTCGAGACTTCCCAGCACGACTCACGCGTTTACGCTTTTAACATCGGCTGCCGGAATATTTGTTCTAGCTCCTTTCATGAGGAAAACAATACAGGTTATTTATAATTTCAATTTAAAATCATTCCAAAATGATATATAAATTATGCATAAACTTTATTATTTTATTTTCAGAAAGTTTCATTGAAGCTACAGACAATAGTGTCTATAATATTGACAATTATTGCATTGATTGCAATAGGAAGTATTTCTTATATTTGTGCCATTCTCTTCATATTATTAATATTTTTTATTAATTTTATTTGTCCAGCTGGATTTATTTATTGCCAGAAATATAAAGAGTAAGTTGTATTACATACTGTATTCAAGTACTAATATAAGTTTGTGACATTTATTTTTTTGGTTTTTAGAAATATTTATGGCCCTTGGGATGAAGCTGTTATTAAAGATAGCTGATTTTATGAACATTGCAAATAATTTTACATCAAAATTTGATTATTTAATATTTATTAAAGTGTTTTAATGTAAATATGTTGAAAGAAAAAATTGCAACTGAAACAATATTTCAAAAAAGAATTTATATTTTTGTATACAAAAAAGAATGTTTTGGTTTTGTATGAAAGTTTAAAAATAAAAGATTTAAGTTAAATTTTTTAATGCATTATTATTATTATTAGAACTAGGGCCTAAAACTGTTTTTATTGTGTAATTTTTATTAAAATTATTCATTTAAATAATGTAGGTTGAACCAAGCCAAATGTCAAATATTTTTTTTTTAAATCAAAGCAAAATAATCCATTCCCACCAAACAAAAAACAATGTTAATCACATACTCCAACACTGTTGGATCAGAAATTTTTTCTGGAATCTCTGAAGGTAATTACATATTTACAAAATATAACTAATCTCTTTATAATTTTATCGGTTATGATTGTTACTAAAGATAGATTTATGTTGTCGTTCATGAATCGGGCCACTGGTAAAAAAAACATCAAACATAGAAGTCACTCTGTCTGAAAGTGATGAAACAGGAACATCTAGCGAATCAGAATTTGACTTGGCACCAAATGAACAGTCACCTGAACCATCAATTATTCATAAAGTTCTGCGTTTAAAGGATGTTTCATTATCATGTACTGAACTTGAAAACAAACTCATCAACGAAATCAAGTTAACAAAACAGGAAATTCAGTTAGTGGAATCTCAAACTAGAGATCAAGCAAATGAGGATTTGTGGTGGAAGTATTGAACGGAAGATTAACTGCATCTCTGTTTGGTCGCATTTTTAGATGTAAAACTGCACACAAAAGCATTGTGAAAGATCTAATGCAGTATCAATAGGAACCACATGTCAACAACATTGAATGGGACAAGAAGAATGAGTCAGTATAAAAAGCTTATTTGTACGAAGAATGTTAATGCTGTACTCAAATTTTCAGCTTAGCAGTACTGGTCTGTTTATTGATCAGGCACAGTGATTTCTTGCAGCAACACCAGATGGTCTTGTTATCTGTGACTGTTGTAGTTCAGCACTATTAGAAATAAAGTGCTTATATTCTAAGAGGCATTTAAGTCTGTGTGGGGTGTCCAACTTCAACTGCAATTTAGCATTTTCTTGTTGAAGCTGTTCATTTTTCTCTACCAACTCACAGTATAACTGCTTTGGTATGGTAACTTATTCAACAGCACATTCTTGAGATTGCACTGATTCAACCACTGCAGCAATTTCATGGTTGTTGTTAGAAGTGTCTGTAAAAAGAAATAAAAGAACATCTTGTAAAATTAAATTTATGCTAATTACAATATTATTCAAACTAGTATGAGAGCTAAATTTATACTAGTTGAAGTGTATAGTTGTTGACTATAGAAGTTAAGCAACAGCTGAAATTAACACTTGTTCTACTTGCTCACATACACAAAAAAAAATTAAAATGCTAGTAAGTTTTTAAAATATCAGATTCATTAACCATGCTCTAATTACCAAATTAATAAACTAGTTGTGGAAGTCACTAACTTCCTGGCTTTGAGAATGGTACTAAAAAGTTGAGCCTTGATTAACATTAATTTATAAATGCTTTATCTACTAGTAAGAACAAAATTTTTATCCAATGGCAACATTAAACATACCTGAAGCAATTATTTTTCTTCCTTTTTTTTAATCGTTTGAACCTTGCAAGTTTTTGATGATTTTGCTTCTCGTTACATATCGTGCTTGATAGAAATAATGTAGGAGCCCAGTCACGGTTATTCTGCTCTGATAAAGGATTTTACTCTATTTACGCCTGTAAACAGAGTAAAATCAAATGCTTACGTTTACACGATCGCTAATTGTGAAGTTCGGTTAGATTTACCTTAGGTATCCAACATGGCCGCGCTCCGACTATTCGTGGTACAGACGGACTCCTCCCGGAAGGGCGCTGCCGATAGGCCGACGAGTGCCAAACGTCACTAGTTACTGATTCACGGTAGTTCTTGAACAAAATAAAAAAAAAAAAAGGTAAACGTCTACTAAAGATGTAGCTAATCTAACGGAAACGAAACGAATCTAACCGAAGCGCCGCCATTTTGGCTACCTAAGGTAAATTTGTTCCAATCTTCATATGCTTTTAAACGAATTCCTGCATACCTGAAATGAAATTCCGTGAACACAGCCTACTTGAAGCGGAAGGTTGCCAGTTTTTTCGAGCGATGGCTGACACCCAAGGCCCGCGCTGAGGTCCTTGTTTTGGGAAGCGAAACATCTTAATTTTGGATAATAAATTCTTCCCAGACCGCATGCTGCAGCGTACTGCTATATAACATGAACCTCTTGATGTCATTTCAGCGTAGATTATAAAAGATTACGTTTGCAAGATGTTTTTCGCATCGAGTATTAACACAACTTCCGCGTTCTACCGGAAGTTGAAGAAGGTCCAATCACGTGACTTGCCTCAGGCTTTGTTTACTTTTAGACATGGTCAATATATATACCAGTCGTCCCCCCTATAACACTGTTGATAATTCCGTTTTATATGAATTCCATGTTATACGAGTCACTTAGATTTTACAAATACGTGTGCTGGGCTGTGAACGGCTCATGTATTTGTAAAATCTAAGTGACTCGTACAACATGGAATTCATATAAAACGGAATTATCAACAGTGTTATAGGGGGTCGACTGTATACTGTTTTGAGTATGCGGTTTCGATTTTTGGTTACAAATTTTACTTCAGAATTTAGCCGCTAAGACGAAATTTGGCACTGATGTCTCCTTAACGTGCATACTAAATACGCTTTCTAAAGAATTTCGGGACTTAAGAAACAATACAATCATTTTGAGTCCTTTCCTTTTTATCCTGAAATCGATTCTTTCATAGCACTGTCTACCGCTCTATTTCGAGCGTGACGTCATGCGCAAGACTACGAAATTTTTATATATTAGAAGCCTGTTCGTTCTAACCTTTTTAAACATTACTCACATGAATTAATATCTTAAATCTTATAAGTATTAAAAATAAAATATAATAAGTTCAATCAAAATTTAAATGAATATTTTTATTCATAACCCGCCATTTTTAAATGCTCATAATGTTTCCATGGTGATGAACTAACTCATTCTATTCGAGTTTCGTTCTGTATATATTTACTTATGTATACGGATTTATATTTTAAAATAAAGGGCTTCTACTAAATACAGTATTTGTTTATTTTTAAAGTGTCACTACATTAATTTGTCTAAATTTAAAGTAAAATAAATAGGAAAAAAATCTGATTAAATATGGATCATTTATCAACTACAGAAAATGATGATGTTCGAAGAGATGATAAACCAGAAAAAAATAAAACTGAAAGTAATGAAGAAGAAACTGAATTGAATAGTAATGAGAAGGAAGATGATAAATTGGAAGAAGAAGCTGAAATGAATGACAATAATAATGAAAATAATCATAAATTGTTAGAAGCAGAAATTAATGATGATGATGAGAAAATTAAGGAACTTGAATCTGGAATGAAAACAGATAAAGTAGAACAAGAAATAGAGCCCGAAACAAATATACAAATGAAAAATCAAGAAGTTGGAAGAAAAGATGATGACAAAATAAAAATTGAAGAAGAAGAAAAATTGTTTCTGGAAATAGATGAAACTGACTTCAAAGAGAATGAAAAGACTGAACAAGAAGAAATAATAAAAGTTGAAGTACAAATGACAGATGTGCACCATGATGATAAAGGAGAACGTAAAGTGGGATTCGTGATTCCTCGTCAGTCCTTGGAAGAAATAATAATAGACGATAAAGATACTGTTTCATACAAAGAATTAGATCGGGAATTTCAGCTATCAAAAAGTAAATTAGATAAAAGTTTTAGTTGGAGTTTTCGATCGGAAAAAGATTTAGAACATGCTGATGTTGGAAAGATTGATGTTATTGGTATTAAACCTAAAATAATGGTTGAAATGCTATTAGAAAGAAAACAAAGAGTAATAATTTAATTTTTAAAAGTACTTTTATTACTAAAATTAATTCTTAAATTATTTTAATGTGTTCAAAAGTTAAAAGATCTCTGTTGAAATGTTAGTCAGCATTTAAGTTTCAAGATTATGAGGAAGTAAGGAATAACATATTATATAATAACGTATGAAAAGTAAGATGAATTATCAATTCAAAATGTTTTCCAAAACTTGCATTATCTTGTTTTAAATTAATGACACTTTTATTTATTTAGCATACTTTATTGTATAACAAATGGAATCAGTAAGTGAAAAGACAGACTTTGGATAAAATATATTTTCTTGTTTGTTTTGCATAACAAAAGTATTAAAATAAGAGAATGTAATATAGCTTTCAGTTTAGAATAGTGACTTCCAAATTTAATTTTTTAACACACACTAATTTAATGATATTCAAAGATTTTGAGATGTCTTTTGATAAAACTTTAAGAAAATGGGTAACTGAGAAGTTGAGTACACAGACTAATTTCCATTTAATCTGCTCATTCAGGCATGAACAGATATAAGAGGAACGGTTCTCTTATTCTGTTCACATTTGAAGATGGCCCATTAACTGGCTTAAAATGTTAGCATTCCTCCAACCTAACCCATTGTTAAAGGTGTATTGGTACTTCAGTAAGGTATCAAAATAGTTTGGAAAAAGATCTAATAATTTATTAATAGTTTTTCTTTTAATATTTTTAATTTTTCTTTTATAAGTTATTAAGATATTTTTTCTAATAAAAATATTATTAAAGAATATAAAAATTCAAAAAGATAACAATGAATATGTTTTATTATATAGAATGGCCACAAAGTCCTTATGCAAGAATTGTCTTTGCTTTACTTTAAGAGAATGTCTTAATGATGAATTTAGTGGAAAATGAATTGGTTATTGATCTGATAAGGTCTACTTGAAATCTAAACTTAATAACATCTAGTAATTTATAATCAGGGCATTGTGAAAGAGAACAAAAATACTTCATAAGAATTTAGAGATCTTTGATTTTGTTGTTTTTCTTCATAACATATATTAAATTAACAAGGGTAAACCCAATAGAAGTTATATGGCTTTGTTATAAAAGTGTAAAGGCATAGTTGAGAAATGTACTGTACAACAGTTGAAAACCTAAAAACAGCTATCAGAAATTGCTTTAGTGGTTTCCAAACCTTAACATAGCTGATTTTTGCAAGAACATGCAATAAAATATATGCAGAAAATGGAGAGGAACATTCAAGCTAACTTCTAAATAGCATGCACAGGAACTTGATAGAACTCCTCATGCCTATTATTTAACAAAAAGACAAAACTTAAATCATTCAAAAACATTTTGAATAATTTTTTCTTTTTGTTAATAATACATATTTGTTTATTGATACTATCATTACATCTATATTGAGAAGTTGTTAGATGATAATTTTCCAGATGTTGACTTTTGAACATCAACATATTCATTTTTAATTAAATTATAATTCCATTAAATAGTTTATATTTAAAAAATTTTTATATTTATTTCAGCCACAATATGAAAATTCATATCAAATTGATATACCTTATAAATTTGAAGTGGAGAAAGTAACTGCTATATTAGAGAAACATTTAACTACTTCTCTGTCTGGACAGACATATGAGTGCAACGTTGCTTGTAAAAAGGCAAAAAAGATATCCCATGATATATTGATTGAAGTGAAAAGTCTCAAATATATAAGGTAAACTTTACATAACAAAAATAGATAAATAATTAATTGTAGTTATAAAAACTATTGTTTATTTATTTGAATTTGTTTTTTTATTCTAGACACAAAATAATAAGTGTTGTGACCGTTGGTCAGAAAGCTGATCAGTCTCTTCATATGATTAATGGGAATTTATGGAATACTAATTTTGATAATTTTGCAACATATAAATTTGAAAATCATAATTTGTTTGCTGTTGCAGCAGTTTTTGCTTTGCATTACGAATAAAAAATTTAACTATAAAAAAATAATGTTACATATAATATATAAATATTTAGAAATAAAACTACACATGAATTTAGATTATGTCGTTATTATTTATGGAATATTTATTAAATAATTATTTAATTTTCAATTAATAAAATTATTTCAAAAACAAAGTTATCCATGTTTATGGTTAAACACTAGTTAAATTTATTACTGTTTATAAAAAAATTACTCTTTACATGAATTTATAATATAAATTTCCATGTTTATCAAAATATGTTGCTACAGCATTCTGATTGTTAATTTCTATAATATGAAATTGTAATATCAATTATAATTTTTTAATCTTTACACAACATATATATGTTTATAAACATGTATTGATGTACCTTTTTATTCAAATCTTCCTGTATGTAAGTATATATTATTAACCCAAATACAGTTAAATGATTTTCTGGTTGTCAGATGTTCTTTTATTCCCTTCTATGTTATTTGAAAATTGAATTAATTTATACAGAATTTTTATAAATTTTAGTATTGAGTACTTGTTAATTATAACTGTTTGTAAAAATTTGCATTTGTTTTTTTTTTTTTTTTTTGGGTATCCTATTTACAAATCATTATATTACTTTACATTTTGTGATCTTTAGTTGTCCTCTAGTAATATTGTTAAATTAAACTTAGTTCAACTATTTTTTTTCTCTTTCATGTTAAACATTATAATTTATATAACAGAATAAATTTATTGGAGAAAACAACATGAAGGATCACAATTGAAAGCTAAAGGATTACCAGCAGTTTCTAACTTTTATAATCCACATACCTCTAAATACCCATACATGAAAATAGCTAAAGAATATCACTGAACAGTTTTTCTATATTCATTGTAATCGGGCTGCAATTTGAAAAAATTGTAGACCTATAAATTTCCACTGTAGTCCATCTGTCTTTCCTTCCTTAAACTTGAGAACAGAATTAGATAGATGAAAGTTGAGACCAGATATGGAAAGCTTAGGTGCAGGAGATCCCAATTAACTATATACAAACTTCATGTACAGATCAGAAGTCACATTATTTCAATTCAAAAATTCTCCCCAGAACAGTTAGATAGATGACGGGCATGATACTGTTGTTATCTGGAAAAGTATGATGTAGTACAGAAGCAACACTCTACAGTACTAATTTGAGATGGAGAGCATATATTTTAAATGAAGTAAATTAAAATTATTATTAAAAATTGCAGCTTGGCATTGTGACTATGTCACAATAAATAATTGCTTGTTTTATTAAAGATTAACAAAATTTGTTTTTTTTTATCAAAATAACAAGTAATAGTTGCTAAACACAAATTTTAATTGCAGTACGATAGTTTAAGCTTGATTTTCAAATTCCACAATTTAAATATAAGTTAAAACTTAGGCCAGGCAATATAATTTTATCAGTCTCATCTAAATGATTTTTTAACTTGAATCCATAAATGCAATTCAAATTATTATTAAAAATATATCAATAGCCATCAGTGGCACACTCAGGATTTAATTTTGGGGAGCAGAGTTGAACCGATAGAAAACATTTTTAATGGCAATTCAATAAAATTCCCACCTTATGTGATCACTAATTCATAAGTAGTATAGAAATAGAAGCCACAACACAATATAAATTAAAGAATGAATTTTAATTACAAAGACTTTTGGAAAATTTTCTAGTGTTTGTTTTCCTTTTTTCTTTGAAATGTACTAGGCCCTTAACCTCCCTCTGGGTATGCCACTGCTAAGCATAGATTGATTGGACAAGCTTCCTACCTGAAGGAACTGGCATCCTGTTGGCCGTTGAAACAGACTCTTTTAACTCTTAATAGGAGAATACCAATGGGCCATGATTGCACTCCTTACATTCTTCTAATAGATCAAGATTGAAAAAATGAAAGGGCCTGCTGCCACATTTACAAAATGATGGATTGTAATTGGTGCATTTGATGGAAATGCAAATCATTATTGTCAAATGACATTTGGTAAGCAGAGTCTACAAGTGTGTGAACTACAAAATACAGTATTAGTTTAAGTATTGAACCTTAAATATTAATTGAAAATGTTCAGATATGCTATTTGATTAATCCAGATGATACAAAATTATAATTAATATGTTCAGTGTGTTCTACATTATTTGACATCTGACGAATTTGGATGAATGAAGGCCTGTGACCTGGCAGCAGTAATATGAACTAGTTCTGCACATTTTTAATGCTGTTTGATAAGTTTCAAATAGCATTCAAAATGTGCAGAACTAGCTCATATTACTGCTGCCAGGTCACAGGCCTTCATTCATCCAAATTAGCATTAAATTATATTTTTATTTGACACATTATATTTTAATAAAATTTCAATAATAAAAATTGAAATATTGTTGGAAGGTTATTTTTGTGTATTACTATTAGTAGATGAACTATATACTTAACTGATTTCAACCATAATTTTATGATAGTATGTACTAATTTAATTAAGCATTCTAATAATATATTTAAATCAATTATATAACTAGTATTCAAATATTAATTTAAATAACTTTCTTTGGAATATAAAGGTTTGTTTAAAACGTTGGTTGCTTATCAATATTCTTGAATCAAAGTTAAAACAAATTGATGTTTTTAAATTTTACATAATTTGAAAATTTTAAATATTAAACCAAACTTTTATGTATTGAAATAAAATATTGCAAAATATAGAAAAATATTGTATGGTCTATTAAATATTTTATTTTTATTCACGTGGTATTATCATTATCTAATAATAATATATTTGAAAGTTTTCAAGACTAAGATTAGTCTAACTCAAACTTTTTATCATAAATGCAACAAAAAAATGGCAATATAAAGAAAATAGCATAAACTTATGATCCAATCATAAACTTTACATAAATGTTATTTAATATTTAATTTTCATGAGTTTTTGGGTGATTGTTCTTCAGCTGTACCTAATAACATGGCAAGCATTTTCTGTTCACGTTCTTGCTTCTTCAATTTTCTCTTTACCTTCTTTTCCTCCTCCTCTTTCATCTGAAGCACCTCCTGGAATCGCTCATCCTTAGGATCCATTTTATAACCAATGTATTCCTGTACGTCTTCGATTAACTTCTGTTTACGTAATTTTTGAGCTTTTGCTTCTGCTTCTTTCTTCTGTTTTCTAATTTCAAATTCTCTCATCCAGGTATCTACTTTAGCCATATTCTTTTCAATCATCTCTTCTCGTTCTCTCCTGTATTCTACATCCTGCTGGTCTTTTTCTCTCACTTTTGCTAGCATCTCGTTCAAAGGCGTATAAGCAATTGATTGATATTTCTTCAATTCTTTCAGATATTCTTTAGATGGCCACATCAAACCCGGATTTATTCCGCACTTTTTACCAAATCTCGCGTAATTTTTACGAAGATTTGCCAATTTGTAATGATGAAAATATTGCAAGGGTAACATCTGCTTTTTCATATATATCTGGCGAACACTTTCTGGTAAACGTGAGATATCACGTTTCTTTTCTATTTCGTCTATTTCATTATTGTCTGATGCTTCCTCACTCACTATTGTCGAACATAATTTAAAATTATACCGTTTTAATGAATTCAGATCAAGAAATAAAGTATTTTTTGTATTAGAAGTGAAAAATCTATACATATTTCTCAATAATTTAAGGTTAATATCCATTATTTCACGAATTCACACACGTTTAATACATAGCCGCCATATTGTCAATGTAAGTTAAGTGTTGCCATGCTAAAACTGAAAAAAAAGTTATACCACCTATATCAAACGCTTATTTAGAAAACTAAAATTCATTTTATATCTTATGCTTTGTACATGTTAAACTTTTTAAAATAATAATATCATCATTTAATATTCAAAATATATATTAAAAAATGCTTTGTTGCTTTTCATATAGGCAGTCTTGAACTATGCTCTCAAGCAAGGTCTATAATTGGTCTATAAACACAAGGTCAGGACACGATACCGTGATGCTCAGCGGCAGTCGTCATATTGAGTCTTTTACGACGTGACCGATGTTTCTAGAGCGAAGTGATTATTTATTTGTTTCTTTCTATTTCAGTTAATTTGATTTCTTATTTAATTGTGTATTTTAAAAATGGTTGGGTGTTCAGCACCGAATTGTAAAAATTCGACAGAAAAAGGTGTAAGATTGTTTCGTTTTCCCGCTGACAAAGCCAGGAAAGCTAAATGGGGTCAATATTGCAGAAGAGAAAAATGGAAGCCAACTGAGAGTTCAAGGCTATGTGAGGTTAGTGAATAAAAATAATGTTGAAAATATAAATTTATGAGGTATTTACAATAACTTCTGTAATGTAACTAAATTTTTTAGATACATTTTGAGGAGTCACAATTTGAACTTAAAAGAGCGGATGGGAGAAAATTATTGAAATGGAATGCAATTCCGACTCTTTTTGATCTTCCAAATTTTACACCCCGTCTGCCATTAAGAGAAGCACCAAGAGAAAGAGAACCACCTCCAAATGAGTGCAGCTTTGGTAAGATAGGTTTATACATCTTATAAAACTATCAATAGTAGAATTGAATGTATGAACACACATATATATGTTCGTACATTTAGTTTTATTATTGATCACTTGTAAAATTATCTGTAGTTTTGCTTGAACAATTAAATTTAATTTACAGCTTTGTCGTCTGTGAATTGTAATGAAGCAGAAGAGTCTGCAGCTGTAGATACAAATGATAGTCATAATGAAAAAGAAGCAGAAGCAGAAGAGTCTGCAGCTGTAGTTGCAAATGATAGTCGCAATGAAAAACTTGCTGCAGAAAATAAAATGTTGAAAAGAGAGGTAATAATAATGTTATTACATTCAACTATGTCATGATGAGGGAGGGATCTATGCTTGGAGAATAAATTAAGTTAGGCTTTCTTTTCATCAGAATATTTTGTCAAATTGTAAAGGACATGCCAAAAACAACTAATTTTAATAATGTTAAAATTAATTTGTATGTACTTTTCAGATAAGAAGACTAATGGAGAGGCAAGAGGCATTGGAGAGAAAGCTTAGCAAATTTTTGAAGCCTGACCAAGTGCAGTATATGCAGAGGGTGAGCA